AGTATAGCGTTCACATAGCAAGACTTATCACATACATGAAACAATATAATATCGATAGAAGGAAATTTACTCTGTTGAGTAAATAGAATATTAATTCTAAATTGTCAATTTTCAACAGTTGAAAATATTATTCAACAAAGCTGTAGGTCAATTAAACTAGGAGACTTTAAAAATGTCATACTTTTTTTTAAAAAAAAAGTAATAGCAAAGTCTTGAACATTTCTGAGAATAATTTTGTAACCATTAACTATACATAAATAAATAAAAAGTAAATAATATTATTCCTATTTAAAGTCTTACATCAACTCGACGCCCAAATACTGTGAAACTATTCACTCTAATTTAGACGAAAGTTCTTATGTAAACAATTTTTATTGTATGTTTTAGAAGTTAGTATATGTCATTGATAACTCTTCTGAAGGAAGACAACTCAAGTAAAAGTTAACCCTTTTGATCAATTATTGATATATATTCACCAGAAAAATAATTGAAAGTAAAATTATGTAATTTACTTGAACATCTCAATATGGAAAAAGCAAAAAAACGATCCCATTCCATCTACTTCAGCCCTAGTAAGTGAATTATATCATACCTCCTCAATATATCCGAAACATATTTTAAAGTCAAGTATATAAGAAAAACAAACAGAATTATTGAACTATAAAATTTAAAATATGACCTAACAGATAAGAAGCAAAATTTCTCCAACAGTAAATATTCTACAGTGGATTCATATTTAGATGTCTGATTGATTATAAATCTACTAAGATTATTAATATTCGCAAATGAAATTTGATTCATTGTGTAGTTGGTCGTAGCTTGTTACCCTGGTTATTTGTAAATAATTCAATGACTTATTTACTTACTTAAGTCTTTTATCCTTCGAGAAGGAGCGTAGACCCTCCAACCGACTCTGTCCTGGGCTCTCATTTCAGATTGTTCCCATGTACTAGTTATTCTTTTGATGTCTACTTTGATTCCCGACACAGTGTGTCCACTGGTCTTCTTCTTCCCCCCTTGACTTCAGAGTTCCAAGTTAGGGCTGGTTTCGTGATGCAGTTTAATGATTTCTGCAATGTATATCCCACCCATCTCCAGCGTCTTTTTTCCGCTACATTCTCCCCCACAGTAGGCTGTTGCTGATAGTATCCGGTCAACAGATATTCAGTATCTTAGTTAGACAATGGTTTATAAATACCTGTACAGTTTCGATGATGGTTGTGGTAGTTCTCCACGTTTCAGCTGCGAACAGTAGAATGGTCTTGACGTTCGTATTGAAGTTTGTGACTTTGATGTTGACTTACAGATAGTTGTTTTGAGTCCCATATGTTTTTCAACAGTGAGAATTCTATCCTTGCTTTTCCAATTCTTGTCTTTACATCTACATCCAACTCCGTCTGTAGCTCCTCTGGGGGTTACTGCCGGTCCCAAGCCCGGGAAAAGGAGGAGGGTTGGGCATGGGGTTAGCGACCCCATCCCGTAGAAAATCAACTCGGTAAAAAAACGCCAACCATAAAAAATCATTCAAACCATTTAAACTCTGCCCTGGGAGTAGAAGGAATAATTATGACGTCTCATGATGAAAGCCAAGTTCCTTCGGAAGTCATGAGGCCGATGCACCTTCTTACAACCAGAGCGAACATTTTTATAGGTACATGGAATGTCCGGACAATGTGGGAGACCGGAAGAGTCTTCCAAATTGCTGCAGTAATGAGAAAATTCAACCTGGAGGTGCTTGGAATCAGTGAAACGCATTGGACGCAGGTTGGACAACAACGACTGTCTTCAGGAGAAAAGCACAAAATGCACTTATTGGATGGGAATCTCATGGACCAAGGATCATCAAAGTCTACTTCAAAACAAAGAGAGAGGCCATTACAATGAACGTCATCCAATGCTATGCGCCTACCAACGACTACGATGAAGACGCTAAAGACCAATTCTACGATAGGCTGCAGTCGATCATCCAGAAGTGCCCAACCAAAGACCTGACAATTCTGATGGGAGATCTCAATGCCAAGGTTGGAAAGGACAACACTGGATACGAAGACGTCATGGGACAACATGGACTGGGAGAAAGGAACGAAAATGGTGAGAGATTTGCAAACCTATGTGCCTTCAATGAAATGGTCATAGGTGGCACCACATTTCCGCACAAAAATATACACAAAGCCACTTGGATTTCACCGGATCACATTACACATAATCAAATCGACCATATCTGCATCAACAAAAGTTCAAGAGGACGATGGGAGATGTGAGAACCAGAAGAGGAGCTGATATAGCATCTGATCATCATTTGCTGGTCGCCAAGATGAAATTAAAACTCAAGAAGCACTGGACAACTGCGCGGACAACATCACAAAAGTTTAATACGGCCTTTCTTTGAGATGCTGACAAACTCAACAAATTCAACATAGCCCTCAGCAACAGGTTCCAGGCCTTTCATGATCTACTCAATGGAGATGGAACTACCATGGAGAGCAACTGGAAAGGTATCAAGGAGGCAATCGTTTCAACATGTCGGGAGGTTCTGGGCCAAAAGAAGCACCATCACAAGGAATGGATCACTGTTGGTACACTGGATAAAATTGAAGAAAGGAGGAACAAGAAGGCAGCAATCAATATCAGCCGAACCAGAGCGGAAAAAGCCAAGGCACAAGCCGAATACACAGAGGCAAACAAGCAAGCGAAGAGGAGCATCAGAACCGACAAACGTAAATATGTGGAAGATTTAGCGATAACAGCGGAAAAGGCTGCAAGAGAGGGAAACATGAGACAACTGTATGATACAACAAAGAAACTTGCTGGAAATTACCATAAGTCAGAAAGACCAGTGAAAAGCAAGGAAGGCAAAGTAATTACCGACATTGAAGAACAACGAAACAGGTGGGTAGCACACATCAAAGAACTCTTGAATCGACCAGCTCCACTGAACCCACCCAACATCGAAGTAGCACCCACGGACCTCCCAATCGATGATGGCCCACCAACAATTGAAGAGATCAGCTTGGCCATTAGACAAATCAAGAGCGGCAAAGCAGCGGGACCAGACAACATCCCGGCAGAGGCACTAAAAGCAAATGTAGCAGCAACAGCCAAGATACTCCACATCCTCTTCAGTAGGATTTGGGACGAAGAACAAGTACCAATAGACTGGAAAAAAGGACTTCTGATCAAGATACCAAAGAAAGACGATCTCAGCAGGTGTAAGAACAAAAGGGCCATCACTCTTCTCTCAATACCAGGAAAAGTCTTCAACCGAGTATTGTTAAACAGGATGAAGGATTCCGTGGACGCCCAACTTCGAGATCAACAAGCTGGATTTTGTAAGGATCAACCGTGTACAGACCAAATCGCAACTCTACGTATCATTGTGGAACGATCAATCGAATGGAATTCATCACTCTACATCAACTTCATCGACTACGAGAAGGCATTTGGTAGCATGGACAGGACGACACTATGGAGGCTTCTTCGACACCACGGCGTGCCTGAGAAGATAGTCAATATCATACGGAACTCCTGTGATGGACTAAACTGCCAAATCGTTCACGGAGGACAACTCACCGACTCGTTTGAAGTAAAGACTGGTGTAAGGCAAGGTTGCTTACTTTCACCCTTTCTCTTTCTCCTGGTCATCGACTGGATCACGAAGACGTCAACATCTGGAGGAAAGCACGGGATACAGTGGACAGGCAGGATGCAGCTTGATGATTTAGACTTCGCGGATGATCTGGCTCTTCTATCACAAACGCAACAACAATTGCAGGAGAAAACGACCAGTGTAGCAGCAGCCTCAGCAGCAGTAGGTCTCAATATACACAAAGGGAAAAGCAAGACTCTCCGATACAACACAATATGCACCAATCAAATGACATTGAACGGAGAAGCTTTGGAGGATGTGGAAACCTTTACATATCTGGGCAGCATCATTGATGAACACGGTGGATCAGATGCAGATGTGAGGGCGCGGATAAGCAAAGCAAGAGCAGCATACCTACAACTGAAAAACATCTGGAGCTCAAAACAATTGTCAACCAACACCAAGGTTGGAACTTTCAATGCAAATATGAAGACAGTTCTACTGTATGGGGCGGAGACGTGGAGAACTACGAAAGCCATTATCCAGAAGATACAAGTGTTTATTAACAGCTGTCTACGCAAAATACTTCGGATCCGATGACCAGGCACTATCAGCAACAAGTTACTGTGGGAGACAACAAACCAGATTCCATCCAGGGGAGGAAGAAATCAGGAGGAAGCGCTGGAAGTGGATTGGGCACACTTTGAGGTAATCACCTAATTGTGTCACAAGACAAGCCCTCACATGGAATCCTGAAGGTCAAAGGAGAAGAGGAAGACCAAAGAACACATTACGTCGAGAAATAGAGACAGACATGAGAAGAATGAACAAGAACTGGATAGAATTAGAAAATAAGACCCAGGACAGAGTGGGTTGGAGTATGCTGGTCGGCGGCCTATGCTCCATTGGGAGTAACAGGCGAAAGTAAGTAAGTAAGTAAACATCTGCATCCGATCCTCCATTGTCCATTGATGATGTTTCCCAGGTAAGTGAAATTCAATGATTATTTCAATAAATTTTAGGGAATACGAATCAATCTAAGTTTAATCAGTGTAACTTAAATCAGTTTGTGATTTCAATGAATTTCAACAATCTTCATTAAGCCATACAGAAAATTTCAGATTTCCATCAAAGTCATAAATCAAGGAATAACTTTAAGAATCATTAATTTACAGTAAAGATACCTTCATTTTTGCAATCTAGACAAGAATAACTTCGGGTATGAAACAAGTTATTCAAACTGAAGATCAAATTAAGCTTTCATTTATATCTTTATACTTTAGAATCGGTGAATGTGTTGAGAAAAGATAAGTCACATATTAAGTTCCCTTATATGTGTTCATATTTTATAGACGAACAAAGTGAAGTTATGAAAACAAGACAAATTCATCAAAAGTTTATATTGATAACTCACCCAATAGTTGATGGAAGTCTGGATAACTTGTTTACATCTAAATTGAGTGTTTGTAATTGACATAGTTGTCCAATATTTAAAGGAATTGATGTAATTTGATTGGATTCTAATTCTAATTGTACTAATCTAACCAATTCACCAATTCTATTCGGTAATCCCTGATCGATGGAATAAAACGTAAATAACCGTGTTTGTACTGTGTTAAATGTATACGGGAATGATTATCAAACTATTGGAATATATTTTATAGTTAAGATCATGAGTCAATTGAAGCTAGACCACCGTGGAAAACCTGGAAGCACTGGACGGCCGTTTCGTCCTATTATGGGACTCCTCAGCGGTGCGCATCCACGAACCCGCTCTCGCGAGATTTGAACCCAGGACCCTAACAGTTTCGAGCCAGAGCCCTTAACCGATAGACCACTGAGCTGGCATCCAACGGTGTTAATGTCTAACCTCAACCAATCCACAAAATTGCGCAACCAACTTCCAATGTAATGAGGTAGATACCTGTCTCTACCTGACATGGATTAGCTCCACTGGCCACGACTTCTCACTAGAACTCCAGGAATTACCTCAAGGAGCCAGTCACTAGTGAGCATATATATATATATTTAAATTATGTAAATTATGTCAGACATAAATTCAGATAACATTTGTATATCATATAAAATAATGCTATTCAATTGTGTACTGCATACTGGAAAAAATAACATTCGATCTATCATGTTTATTTCAATGTTAATCGACGGTACAAATTGTAGTTAAACTTAGATAAAAACAAGCTGACCAAAAATTGAATTTTTAAGCATATGGTTTATTGATGAGCTACGTATAGGTTGCTTTATTCAAATGATTGACGTAAGAGTAGTTACATATGTAAATAATAAAATTACAATGTATTACCAATGTTTTAATCATAAGCCCGTGTGAAGTTGAAAAAATTCGATGCTTACCTACCTGCTTGTTATTTTTATTTACTTAGTCACAAAGTTCCGTAATCATCACATAACTATATAAAAAATTAGTGACATTGAATGAATCTTATTCTATTTTGATGAGAAAGTGATATTTACAGTATACATAAGTAATCCATCGTAACGAATTAGCCTCATATTGTCTTTTCATTAAATGAATAGAAAACTCAGCTCTATATTTCTTTATAATTTGTGTTAACTGTTGTTTTCTTAATCTGATTGTTATACCATGTATTTATTTACTACATGTTTTAACCCAACGGGAGCCCTTCTACGGTTGCTACCAGTTCCATGCCCGGATGGAGAAAGAGGGTTGAACAAGAAGTTCCCAATCCAAACGCGTGGAAACTGACGTTGCTAAAAAATGCTAACCGAAAAAGTCAATTTAAACCATATAAACTCTGCCCTGAGAGTTTAAGGATCTTCATTTAGAAGAATTATGACGATTCATAGTGAAAGCCAAGATGCTTCGAAAGTCATGAGGTCGATGCCCCTTCGGAGAATCAGAGTAACAATTTATAAAGGTACATGGAAAGTTTATTACGGCCTTTCTTCGAGATGCTGACAAACTCAACAAATTCAACATAGCCCTCAGCAACAGGTTCCAGGCCTTTCATGATCTACTCAATGGAGATGGAACTACCATGGAGAGCAACTGGAAAGGTATCAAGGAGGCAATCGTTTCAACATGTCGGGAGGTTCTGGGCCAAAAGAAGCACCATCACAAGGAATGGATCACTGTTGGTACACTGGATAAAATTGAAGAAAGGAGGAACAAGAAGGCAGCAATCAATATCAGCCGAACCAGAGCGGAAAAAGCCAAGGCACAAGCCGAATACACAGAGGCAAACAAGCAAGCGAAGAGGAGCATCAGAACCGACAAACGTAAATATGTGGAAGATTTAGCGATAACAGCGGAAAAGGCTGCAAGAGAGGGAAACATGAGACAACTGTATGATACAACAAAGAAACTTGCTGGAAATTACCATAAGTCAGAAAGACCAGTGAAAAGCAAGGAAGGCAAAGTAATTACCGACATTGAAGAACAACGAAACAGGTGGGTAGCACACATCAAAGAACTCTTGAATCGACCAGCTCCACTGAACCCACCCAACATCGAAGTAGCACCCACGGACCTCCCAATCGATGATGGCCCACCAACAATTGAAGAGATCAGCTTGGCCATTAGACAAATCAAGAGCGGCAAAGCAGCGGGACCAGACAACATCCCGGCAGAGGCACTAAAAGCAAATGTAGCAGCAACAGCCAAGATACTCCACATCCTCTTCAGTAGGATTTGGGACGAAGAACAAGTACCAATAGACTGGAAAAAAGGACTTCTGATCAAGATACCAAAGAAAGACGATCTCAGCAGGTGTAAGAACAAAAGGGCCATCACTCTTCTCTCAATACCAGGAAAAGTCTTCAACCGAGTATTGTTAAACAGGATGAAGGATTCCGTGGACGCCCAACTTCGAGATCAACAAGCTGGATTTTGTAAGGATCAACCGTGTACAGACCAAATCGCAACTCTACGTATCATTGTGGAACGATCAATCGAATGGAATTCATCACTCTACATCAACTTCATCGACTACGAGAAGGCATTTGGTAGCATGGACAGGACGACACTATGGAGGCTTCTTCGACACCACGGCGTGCCTGAGAAGATAGTCAATATCATACGGAACTCCTGTGATGGACTAAACTGCCAAATCGTTCACGGAGGACAACTCACCGACTCGTTTGAAGTAAAGACTGGTGTAAGGCAAGGTTGCTTACTTTCACCCTTTCTCTTTCTCCTGGTCATCGACTGGATCACGAAGACGTCAACATCTGGAGGAAAGCACAGGATACAGTGGACAGGTAGGATGCAGCTACTGATGTTTATAGATATAAGTAGTATGTTCCATCAGTCAAAAAGAAATACCTGGCAGCAGAAGATTTAGAAGATATAAGAAAAGAGAACGAGAACAGTAAATGATTGCTGTGGAAGTGAAGGAGCAGTGAAGTCTGAGACGATTATATGACATTCGCAAGAGGAACAGTCAAGTTTGAGACAATTGATGGATCACAATTGATTGATCACTGGGTGGTGATCAATCTCATGCGTGTCAGGTCCTTAGTGCTGATCGAATGCTATCGATGAAGTTGCAATGTGGCCACCAGTCTAGGTGGCTCGACACTGCGGGCACTATATATATTAGGGTAACATGGTGGTTGGAGGTTGTCAACAGGAAACCCTGGACCCGGGTTTCGTGCTACTTGGCACTCGTCAGCAAGGTGTACCTGTAATCTTGAGGGAACTGATGCTCCCTGGCGGATTCGATCCCGCGTCACTCAGCTTCACAGTCACAGACGTTACCACTGAGCTATTTGAAGACATAAATTACAGAAGATTTCAGTAAAATCTGAGAACCATATAGTAAATACTTAATTTGCAAAATATCCATCAATTGTAACATGGTGGTTGGAGGTGGTCAACAGGAAACCCTGGACCCGGGTTTCGTGCTACTTGGTACTCGTCAGCAAGGTGTACCTGTAATCTTGAGGGAACTGATGCTCCCTGGCGTATTCGATCCCGGGTCACTCAGCTTCACAGTCAGAGACGTTACCACTGAGCTATTCGGGCCGCGACCGACCTCCTGTAGGACTGAGATCTAATCACAATTGATTGATCACTGGGTGGTGATCAATTTCATGCGTGTCAGGTCCTTAGTGCTGATCGAATGCTATCGATCAAGTTGCAATGTGGCCACCAGGTAGAAAATGCTGTAAAACTCCAACTTGGTATTTTTTTGGTGTCTCTCTTGGTCTGCTTAATATTGGGATGCTTTTCTGTCTATTTGATTAATCGGAAGAAACAATTTGACTTCTGTCTCCAATGATAATTTGAGAATGAAATATATCACCGCTTAGAAATTTACTTGTAAGTAATAATTTATTTTTGATATAACTTAAAGGAGCAACGATTTTATTCCTTTGGAGTTTATTAGTTTCGATAACTCGAAAAATTTATAAATAAAAATTACGAATTGTCGCTCATACAAATGTAACAGTGGGAGTGTTTCAAATACTTTCATATTTTATGGGTTTACACCAAGGAAATTTTCAAAAGTGCTAGATCTTCAATAGTACAATGAAAATACAGAATTAGGTTGGTCTTATATACACTAAAAGTAAGTTAATATGTATTTTTTGTACCCTTTCCACATTTAATGGCTAATTATCAAATGGATTTTCATTACTTTCAATGCAAACTAAAAATTTACATGTTCATATTTGTTACAGTTACGTTTATCCAACATTTGTTTAAGCGTATGGTCAATAAAAAATAACAGTCAGATGAACTTCTTATGTTGTGAACAAGAACACTAGTGAGCAGAACCGAATAAATGTGAATACAAAATTGCAGAATGTCTTGATAAAATCTGAGGACCGTACAGTAAATACTTCATTTGTAAGATGTCAATCAGTCATCTCAAACTTCATTGTTCTTTCGTTTCCACATAAACCATTCTCCGTTCTCATCGTCTTCTCTTCAATCATCTTAATCCTCTACCGCCAGGCATTTCACTTTCAACTAATCATACATACTACTTATATCTATCGACATCAATAGCACACACCACATTTAATTACAAATGTTAGTTAAGTCTTATCAAGTGTTATAAAAGAAATCATTAAAAACAATCAAATTAACATCAAAACAGAGCTACTAATCATAGGATTTGTCAAGTACTTATGTTTACAACGAATATGTACGTTTAACAGATTATATGCTTGATAGTGATCAACTAATATGCACAGAAGAGTTGGACATAAATAAACAAAGTGAACATTATACTATATAATATTACCTCTAAGCGATTACTGGTCAAATCTAATACTTCTAAAGATACTAACTCGCCAATGGAATCAGGTAATTGACCAATTTGGTTATAGGAAAGGTCTAATTCAACAAGATGTTTCAATGTTTCTATTCCTTCAGAAAGACAGAGTATAACAAAAATGAACTGATGTAAGTGGAAAATAGTAAACAATTCATCAAGTCAGTAAAATTGCTAAATAAGTAAATACCATAAATATAATCATTTAAAGTACTTAATTAAAATTAGGAAATAAGTCACATTTAAATACGACGTTTAGATGAAATGAAATTATTATTACAAGATCATACATTAGTGATATTAAAAATTTTCCACAATTCATAAATTTGAATATACTTCAAAGTATATCACTGATCTTTGATGAAAATGTACAAGAGTAATAACTCATGACAAAACTTCACCAAATATTGTTATGCATTTGTAGTTTGATAAAGAATGCTATCTTGAAATGAGGAAAGAACAGATTATCAATACACTGAAGAAATCTTTAACTACTGAACACCGAATAGTATATGAAAGTGAATAACAAACAGTTGGTATACAGTTAAAGACTCCCATCAGTCATTATCCTCCCGTTAAGTGTGCAATAGTATTCATTAACTTAATTTATATTTTCGGATACCAAGTTTATATTAAGTAATTAAATCAACCAAACACTTCTCTTATTAGAACAAATACTGTTTTTTGTTGGATATAAAAGTTATCAGTTACTTTATAACGACAGACTATAAAATCAATTTATTTACGGCCTTTAGTACGTTCAATACAAAAAAAAAGTTAATTTCATGATAAATTTATTGATGAAAACAAGAGATAAATATTGAAACTACTGAAAAACAAATAAAAATTTATCAGCTAATATTACTTCAGATGATTAACTGGGATTACAAGTAAAACCATGGTAATATACGTGATTGATTATTGTTTTCAGCAACTAGTTGACTGAAGTCTGATTTACATTAATCTAAGAAAGAACAGTTCTCTAAAGTTATCATGTAATTAATAATATAAATATGCAAAGTTGTATTAACAATAAAGTTTCAACTGATGTTACCAAAGTCGCTTAAATAGAATTTAAAACCTTACAAAAGGATAAAATTTTAATATTACTGTTGTTGTTGTTGTATACAGAATAACATATTTTGTAGGTACTTATCAAGAGTCTGATAGTGGTTAGTGCGTCAAATACTCCACTCTGTTCATGATAATGCGACAAAACCAATACAGAAAATGTTTCAAATAGAAAGAAATATCTGCACTAACATTTATCACATTGATTTCATGGATTGTGTTGTGCTTTCGTTTAAATAACATAATATTACTGTGAACAAATAATTGTTTCCAAACAAATATTTTCCTTTCTTTATTGGCTACTTTTGATCAGTGTTGAGTCAATAATAAAACAAAGTTATTGTCTTTCGAAACTTTAATGACGTGATGTTCATCCATATGGACTTCGCAGATGTAAAGGTTCATTTTAAACGAGTTTGGATTCGTAAAATATGATCAACAATGAAACTGTATGTTAATAAATGTTGAATTTAAAAGATAATTAAAAAGCAGAAGGGACTTTTTCCGGAACGTATAGCTTGAAATATCTTGGTGAGTTGTAAGAAATAGATAAAATGACAAATGACCACTTTTCGCTTTGTAATAGATGGAATGTGGCTAGTAGTGGAATCGAGGACGCAGGTTTCGTTCTGTTTGGGACTCGTCAACCGAGTGTACCTGCATTGATAACGGGATAATCCAAACCATTACAAATTAACGATTAAAACGCTTTTTGATTTGTTGTTACAACTAAACAATCATATTTTCAGTAGTTGCATACAATTTTAACTACTGGGCACAAGTGATCAGCAACTGTCGCCATAAAAGCTTTTCTAATGATTTCTAGTGAATTACTGTTTATCACGGCAAGACATCGTTCCTAAGTGGTCAGCAATAATCAAGTCTGAAGTTCATATTTCATATTCTATTTGTCAAATAAATGGAAATGTACATGTTTTTTGGACTCTCCTTCAAAGTTCTAGCACCCAAGGTAATCATTCAGATTCTTATTTAGAGTTCACCATCCGTCTTTTCAGTAACAGAAGTACTTTTTGGAAAAAGAGTTGACTGTTCAAGTCGTAAATGTAATGAATCACGTGATCGCGATTTGGAATTAGCCTATTGCAAACAACATGGACAATAAACTACAGTTATATAGAAATGATAATGTGCATTGACATAATCTAGGAAGTGGATAATTATAAATGTAAAGCATTAATTCTGGGGACTATCGCTAACATGTAGCAAAATAACAAGTAACTTAATTAGTTGTATCCATGAAATTTGAAAAATTACGCTACGACGTAACCTCTGTGACAGCATCATGAATAAATTCATAGCATTTTTTAAAGTAGTTAACAAGTAAAACGTTTACCTGTAAAATCTAAAGCGATAATATTATTGTTGCATAAGTTTAGTGTGGTTAATTGAGTGTTTTCTGACAGTTGGACTGCTTCGAATAACTCTAAACGATTATAATCTAATCTGAAATGCTTTAAAAAAAAGCCGAAATAAGAATAAAGATAAAAATGTATGAAACAAAAGTTAATCCAGGAAAGATGTTTCAAAAAACAAATCGTAACAAAGTGACGATTTTACACTGTCTTGGATTCAACTGCTACCTATCATCTATTTCTGTTTAGAAAGTAAATGCTGTTTGAAAAACAATGTGAAACTCATAACGGTGAATAATAAATCAACATCATCAGAATTGATTTAGAACGATAAAAAATGTTTTTAAACACACAAGGATGGTTTAAATTTTCATACATCCAGGGCTTCAATAAACTTTAGTGTACGCCCTAGATAACGCTTGTGCAAAACCACAAAGCCTAAGTTAATGTTAGTCTTATGATCTGTTACAACAACGTGTTTAGCGGTAGAGGAAGATGGATGCTTATCATCACTTTTTACTCGATAATTTGATTTTGTTTGCTTCAGCAGTTATTTTGATTATTGTTCAGAGACTAAAACTTATAAATACCGATTACTCCTATATATGTATACATGGCCATACGAAAATTCAAACCTCATTTATGCATTAGGAAACAGTTTGTTCTCACCCTGATTCTATTCTGGTCATGTTGATTTATTATCCAGGATGAGGAGTTTTACAGTGTTTCTCAAATTATTTTTATTATTAATTTTTTTTCCTCTTACATTCCTTGTTTTATATTTGGCCTTTTATTTTTTATATGTATATGTTCTTACCGAGTATATTTGTCATCATATTATTAGAAATGTACTGCGTTGATATACTACATAATTCTAATAATCATTGTCTTCCTACTACATTATCAAAACTTATCAAAGGGATTAATTACTTTAAAAGTAAATGTATCAGCTGTATAATAATACATTTAAAATACTGGAAATAAAGCTTTCCGTAACACCTGAAATTTTCTGTCATATAAACTCTGGTCAAGTAACTAAGACTAGTGAAGTTAATAGTTACTAACTTAAAGATATTGTCTGAATAATTCCAGACAATAAAACTTATTCTGTAAAAAAATAATTTAGGTTGCGATGCTATAAATGATTTACTATATGAAATATCAATCTATCATAAACTGATATGTCTTGCTGATTGAACTCTATACTCGGATCCTAAGCTAGTCTCGCAACCCCCAAGCTAGAACTACACAGCAACTTGAACACGAGAGAAAAGGTGCAAAATGTACGAGAAGCACTTTACTCCAAAGGTTCATTTATGTACAGAAAATATAGGGTTTTTATAATACTTTAGGAGTCTTTGGGTTTTCCTGAAAATTCTAAAATACTATGAAACATAACAGCAATGTAGTAATCAGCCAATCAGAACCTCTGCACGTGTCTTTTCATTTTCGCGATATTTCTAACAAAACTTCTAATCAAACGCTGATTGAATAAAATGCTCTTTGATGTTTCCTGAGCTTGTCATGCCGATCGCGAGAAATTTTCAGGATCATCCCAACATAAACTACGATAATTAATTATTGTATTTAATTTCACATTAACTACTAATTTCGAAATTCAAGAAAAACAGATTTCATGGAATTATTTCTAAGAAAATATAATTAAGTAATTGAAAAATATTCTGATAAAAATAATCGGAAATGTATTATCAATGTGAAAACAACAAAATAAAAGTATGTTTGTACTTACTTTGACATTTTTATACTGAGTTTTATCACCGATTGGAAAAGAATTGAAATCATTATGAGATAGTACTACGGAAAGTGAGTCTTTTAAATGACACAATAGATTTTCCTATTCAATTAAACACACAGAGAAAAATAGATAAGTAGGTTCTAACCGTAAACAAACCAAAGAAAAAATAATAATACTTAGATAATAGAATTAATAAGTGAATATAGATTAACTACAGTGTATGTCTTATAGTCAACGTCGCAGTGTGATCTCAATGAAACAGACAATGGTAACTTGGAAGCATTGGAAAGTTGTCTCTTCATAATATAGAATTCTTTAACATAAAGAATAAAACATGAAATATTTCATCAAAATGGTTTTCTTCTGCAACCATATAATTATGGTATTTTTTACAGAACTATTTACTTTATAATTTAAATCGGAGATATCTATTATAATCGTTGTGTTCAATGAAATTAATCACTAATACCATTTAATCAAAAAATTGATATAATGTACTCAAGTAACAACGACAATTAATTTTCTACTTATCAATAATCCATTAAAATGTAATAATCCAAGTGACTGATTGTTGCGGAAGCAACTAGTAGCATATGGAAAGATTTGTTGACAAAGCTATTCGAATAACTATCAGTATATGATTATGGAGGTTGGTGAGTTTTTATTGAGATAAGGAACCGATCAATGTTAGACCACCACTGAAAACTTGGAAGCACTGGACAGACAGTTCGTCTTATTCCGGGGCACTACAGCAGTGTTGATCCACGATCCAACCCGTGAGACTCAAATTCAGGGCTTTCATGTTCGATATCCATCGTATAATCATAATGTCAATACTACCTTTAAATATCTCATGATGTAATTTACTATTGACAACAATTCCAAACGAATATTTTATGACTTTGTCTGCATTTCTGCTTACATATATGCTATACAAGAATGCGTTGCAGGACAGTACAGAAGAAAACAAGCAAACTAACCGGTAGCTGAGTTATATGATTGCCCTCAATATTCAGTTCGGTCAATTTTTCACAATTACATATAGTAACTGGGAGTTCACTTAAGCAGTTATATCTGAAATACAAAAATACATGTTTATCGATCAGAGATAATGAAGTTTAATAATAAACATAAGACTATTTTTTATTTAAATAATCAGAAATTATGAATTACCAACTACTTTTATGTATTCAATAGAACCAGTAAATGGTAGTCACCTACACACACACACATGCACATAGACCTTGACTTCAAGATGAAGAAATTGTATGATTCAAGTACTTATCTGTTGTATTTGTGTGTTTAACAAATCTATGTACCGTTAATGGAAAATTTTCTAAATACTAGCTAAGTTGTCATGACACTAACTTGACATCTCAACAAAAAACAGTTACTTAGAGTTGGAGTCCTCATACTAACTTTGGTTTCAAATAAAAACATTTAGAGCTACACCTTGTAACAGCGGAATGTTTATCAAAGGTTATGTGATCATGCTATTTTAGCTAAAATTAAAAACTCTAGAAATGATTGAGAGTTGTTATTGTTACAGATTCGGCAACTATACAATTGACTGATTATTGAACAGTGATTATTGTTATAATTATTTAACCCTTTAAGTGGTGATGGAATTCCATCAATTGAATTGTAATGAAGTTAATAGTCTAAGTAAAGCTTGTCGAAGTGGTTTCAAATCTCACAGGGAATATCAGTTCCTTCAAGACAGCAGGTACATCTCAATGACTAGTGTCAACTGGCACAAAATCTAGATTCAGAGTTTTCTGCCCAGAACTTCAAACCACTTAACAAGACGATAGTATTCATTCAAATGAATAAAATGATAAATTTTTTATCACTTAACAGTTAAAAATATCTTTTATATAATAAAAAAGTGTCTTCCCGAAACGAAAACTACGCCAGTATTAATTCACAATTATAAGCTTTAATGTAGGTTATACTGCTTTTACAATAACTACAGGAAACAGAATAGGTATTTAATGAACAAAACACATTTGTGAGAAGTGTAAATTTAAATTAACAGATTTCATATTGAATTTTGTAAAAAAATTTAATTAATCTTCTATATTGCCGATAACTTTATCTTCACTGTAAAGATATGACATCCAAAAACTTGAAGTGTTATAAAGAATATTTTTAGCCCAGGATTAAAATATTGAATGTACTATTTCCTCTGAGTTTAATAAGTTTACTTGGAGAATATAACATCTTCAAATGATATCGCAAAACACATGTCAGAAATGTTTTCATTTAAAACAGAACAAGTAACGAATTGATCAAAGTTTAATATGTGCTTCGTCTGATTCTGACTTAATGATAAAAAGTGAATCTGCTAATTGTTAAGACTGAAGAAAAGTGATAAGTTCAATCCCCTTGAGGAGTATTAGTGGCATATTGTATGCTATTTATGTCGACTAACATAATTAGTATGTAACATCAGTCGGAAGTGAAGAACCTGGCAGCAGAAGGCTATGAAGATTGAGTTGAACAAAATAGAAGAGCAAACATAAGGGAATTGTGAAGGGGAAGAATCAAACAGAATGTGAAGAAAAAAATGATGAAAATTTACAAACGAAGTACACAGTGTGTGGTTCTCATATTTTACCAAGAGATTCTGTATTTTTGTATCTAAATACAACCGATCGATCTCACCTGTGTTCTTGTTCACAACAGTAGTAGTAGCAGCATACCGATAAATGTGTTATAAAAATTATTCAATAACATGTAACTTGTGAAAGCTGAACCCTTGAATACTCAAAGAATTAAGTAACAAACTAAGAATAGAAGAATTATCAGTAGAAAACCTACTTAATTCCTAATACCGTAAGTTCTGAAAGTCGCCCAATTGATTTTGGCAATTCATCTATTTGATTATAATCCACAAGAAAACGGGATAGCAATTTACAATTGCCTATATCTAATGAAAGAAAATAAGAAATGTATTGTTCACAATTAAACTAAATAAATTTATTTAGATAAAATATTAATGAACCTATTAATTAATTGATTGGTTGTTTGCATAATCTCATTGATGTTCAGGGCTGCATCTGATCAGTATCTTATTGGCATATGTACATCCATCTTTGTTTACAATACATGTGTTCCATTTTGGCTTATCATACTTTTGTAAATCATATTGAGCAAAAATAAACACAAGAAAAAAATTATTGCAATAATTATTCTATTCGTCTATCTAAATATAATTGTATATTGGTGAAGTAATGATAAGATTTATTTTAACTATCATTATAGTGTATTCTCAGTTTTTTTAAAGTTAACTCATTACGAATGTAATTAATTCACTAAAACCGCTCAAGTATACCTCTACAAAAGTTTCAATATTATTTAGGGTCATTAATTCATTTGAACTCAATCATCTTGAAATTTATGTAAAACTTCAAGTTGGAAAATTAATTGCCTTTTTATCTCTTTCAAAAACTCAGAGTGGAAAACACCAGCTTCTGAATTTTTTCTAAATAAGTATTTTCTTGGGGTCTCTATATATTAAAACATTTGATTTACATTTTTCAAACAAACTGTTTACTAACTTGTTATTATTAAGTTACATAATATGAAGATATTTTGACGGAAAAATGTAATTTACAGGAAACGTTGATGTTTTGCAATAAAAAGCACCAGCGTTACTTTTACCAGTTAATAATAAAAGAAGAATTTTAAATTGACCCAAACAAGAAATGCATATAAGTGCTAAATAAGTTCAATAACTTTTGTTAGTATACCCAAAAATACCATACTGATTAAGGTCGTATTTTACGTAATGGAGTCAACTCCGACTGACAGTTCAAAATCGGAAATGATATGTCCCAAACAACGTATAGAAACTTTGAAAGATAATATGGGAGAGTTAAAAAGTATAGTGTATAAAACAGAGCCAGATAACAAAATGAGCCTCGTGGCTGATCATAAGCCAGTTCAATACACACTGCTAACAAAAGTATATACATATAAATTAGCATTTGAGGACAAAAGCATATTACACTGATGAACTTTAGCGACTTATCAACCAATCAGGAAACACTACCTTGCAAATAAGATGATTAACAATAAAAAGCAATAAAACAACAGTGGAATAGGGGTCTTGATATGACCAATTATCCTTTACATGTTAAATTATTCATTATGCTAGGGCAATAAAGTTAAATCTGTTTATTAGGAGTTGGGCTAGGGTTGTGTGTTAAGGTTTTAACCCTTTAGGGTTTTCATCCACAACTGACAACAGCTATATTACCAAATGGTTGGCGTCAGGTAATAGGAGTGAAAATAGAAATGTATGTTGAGGTTATATATTATGGATAATTATTCATCATGAACCGATTTTAGTTACAGTACAATGATTTTTTTACCAACCTTTTATTTACAAACTTAGGAAAATTGATGGTGAGATGTAAATACAGTAGTTAGAAGAATACTACTGAATCATATTAATTAATTAACACAGAATCTGCATCAGAAGATGGTATTTCATGTGGTTTCGCTAAGCATCAGGTTTTGTTCACTGTTCGATTGCATAGTACATATTTTTATCGTTTTGAAGCATTTTACCAACAAAATCTTGCCAATTTTTACTTATGTCATGACAACATACAAGTTGTCCAGCACTGCGCTTTGCTTTCACGCAAAAATGTACGAGATGCTATCTCAATTCTGATTAGTTTACTCAAGGTCGTCAACATAGTACACTTTACACTAATGCGTATTATATCAAAAATATAGAGCACAGAAGATATTTAATTAATACTTTGCTGCTGTCATCTGAAAACTATCACCAGACTGGTGAAACATATAAAACGCAGGATAAAAATAAACCGCAGAATTTTTTTAATACTCAACAATGCCTTATCAGTACAACAGGTCTTTCGAAATTCAATTTAACAATTATATTACAGACTGATTGTTATCTGCAGATCGATTACTGGCAGACTGATGAATGCTCACTCTTGAGAAATCCTATACACCAAAGAAACAGTAATGTAATCCTTTTCTGTTTCTCATGATTGTGTAGCTAAACCCAGACCATCATGTAAGAAACAAACAATGGATTACTTTTCATACAACAAATTATTAATAGATTTTTTTAAGGGTTAACTAGAAAGATGATAGAACGTAACCTGAATGACACATTATTACTAATAGTTAAACTTTAGCTTCCAACTATTGATTTCTTTTGACTATTAACTATACTTTCTTGTACATATACATATTATAATTAGAGATGAACTCCATTATTCATGTTACTTAAAGTGAACAAAAACCTGATATTCAATAACATATTTTTATCTACTTTTCATATTCAATATTATATTACTCAAATCTTATCATTAGAAAAATCTCTCGACGCGGAAAAATATCATTAAAATCTATGAATGAATAAAAACCGGTATTATTCTGTATTTGACAAGCAACATAAGGTAATGAAATTAAAACTCAATTTTTCAGAAATTTACTTGAGGGTTTTATATGAGATATTTTACTTGTGTATTGATCAAAATGAACTTCGTACACTAATAACAGTATTAATAATAATAATAACCATAGCGAATAAAACACGGTATCATCATTGAATGTTTATTCAAATATAAATATTTAAAATCTACTATTTGTTATACATTTGATATTTCAGTGCCATGATATGTACTTAAGACTATTTAGGCAAATGAACACTTGAGTTAATAAGCACTGATAGTGATTATATTTTGAAGCATAATTACAAGCCATGGAAATGGTTAAGAACAGCTAATATGAATAGATTTTCTAAGTTCTTTTTTGGTATCAGTGGAACAAATAATAATAAAAAAACTTTTTAAAAAAATATGCGGTGAAGTCTTTCATTCTATTGTGTTCATATGGTTAACTATATTAGCGAACATTTTTAAGATCAGGGTATAATGAAATCTGAAACATTTAAGTTTAATGAAAAACATGGTAAATCTTTTAAACAAATAAACAAACTTGACATTGAATCGTTATTATTTTTAGTTTCAATCAACTTTGATCATTCATCAAAAATGTACATGGTAACATTACCTTTAAATATAAAATAAACCTTTGAGTTAATGTTTATAAACTTGTATAAATTACAAAGAACAAAAAGTCTCATAAAGAATACAACAATCAGTAAAAACCATTCTTAAATTATTAAGGTAATTGGAAACAAGATAAACAATTACATACAAAAATGAACTTCCTTTGAATAAATTGAATTAAATCCGATACAAATTTTTTTCTTAAAAAAATAAAAGTATCTCACTAGATAAAATCATTATTAAAATTAATAAATTATTATTATTGTCGTTTTAATATCATTTAAATCAGGTTAACAGTTCAGAAATTTTGTAGTAGAAAGCTCTGGACAACTGTTTTTCACTGGTTTTAGACGTCTCAGTAGTGTACAACAATGATCACATGTGTGACTAAACTCATAATCTTCAAGTCTCACAGTGAAAAAGTTACTTTTAGACAATGTAGTAAGTAAGCAATGGATTGTGTTTTCAATCAGTAAATTCTTGATATAGTACGACGATTATACAATGTCAGTAATGATGCCTGTCACACTCGAGACCTGACTGAATTTGGTTATGTCATCTAGCTCAGGGAAAGTAACACCACTAAAAGTAATCATAAACAACCTAGAACATAGAATATATATGAGCATCATTCAAGATTTCATAATAAACCAGCACAACGAAATTAAATTATCAAGACAAGTGCTAGATTAGAAAAAGTAATAACAGTATCAATCAAAGTTAAAAACATTAGACACAGATAACATGATTTTATGACGAAGAATTAATTAATCTTCATCATTCTACATTCAGTGGTATTTTCATAGGGAATGTTTACTATCCGAGCAGTAATTCATTGAATTTCGGTTCTTCTTTCCATATATTGTGCTAAATATAAGGGTAAATTATAAGAACTTTCGTCGGTAAGACTATAATTTATGGACGACCTCTGAGTGACGCTGAAGTGACCTTGAGAATGTCCACGTACTTACTAGGGCTAAATAAGAGTTATAATGCAGTGTGAAAAATAAGGACTATGGTTTACAGTTGATGGTGAGGGTTAGGAATTGGATTTAGGGTTTTCATCACGAACTGACATCGGCTAAAATGCAAAAACGCTATTAGGCAAATTAGTGAGAGAATTTCGCGCCAAAATCTAAGACCTGTTATCCTAAGTCTGATTGGTTCATCCATAAATCAGTCTCGCCATTTCGTCTATATTTGAACGAATATTGCACAGTAGTCGGGCGCCAAATTAATGTAGGAAATTGAGGAACAAAATTATGTTTCTAAAAATCTCAGCAAATGAACTTTAAGTAAATTCAACGTCTCGCTCAGTAATCTGGATCATGCATAGATCCCTTTACACATACATCAACTGTTATTTTAATAAACTTTTATCCACTTTTCACACTGAATGCCCATACGTATTACAACAAATTCTTATTTTCAACATTGCTAACATCACTGATGAACTATTTAGCATACAGTTAACTAGAAAACCATTTATTTATTTTTATTCGATAATTTAAATGTTTGATTACCTTTCCTTGGAAAAGCTTGGTCCAGATTCCCGAGCAAAACGTTGGATTTACTCAAAGTTCAATCACTGAGATCTTTTAGAGATGTAATTATACTACTTAATATGAGTAAATATTTATTGAACAACTGAATACACGTCTTATAAATCATATTAACTTATATCTTAACGATTATTCAAATTGATTACGTAATCTTTAAAGACCTGGCGTTACTATAGTCAAATGTTTGCAACCATACGACTGTGATTTTTCCTTTGTACAGAAATCGTAGTACGATATCAATTATTAAAATAAAAGAACATGATGCATATCCACTTAAGTTATATAAATACAATGGGTTTTTTTAAACAATC